GATTTACGTGATCGGAGACGTGGTCTCACGGGAAACTTAATTATCGTAATATATCGTAAATATATATATACATATATATATATATATCGCACTATTGACCTGTGATAATAATGATACTCCTATTGTTATCATTGTCATTATCATGTTCCCTCATTCCTCACAGTGAAGAGGACGAGAATATAAAATCAGCCACTTACTGTTATGGTTTGCTTTACTGAAGGTCCAATATCAAAAGCGTTCTTGACCTCTGAAACCTTATCCTTGTATACCACTTGATCTGGATTAGAAAATCTGAAGAGGAAGAAGAAACGCTAGAATTTTAGTTACTTTAGGAAACGATTGATTGTAAACGATATTGCTGGCAAATATTCCCTAAACAACATTTTAAGCCACAACTCTTCAAGCTTGGCCACAGAGTTTTAATCGGAGGCGTAGCTATTGGCTCGCAGAGTCTTACAGCGCATGTGGTACTTTCAAGTTAAGTTTCTTTTTCTAATAAACCAATTTTATTCAATGCTGAGTCAAGCCTTCTATCAAAGTTAAAACAAAACAACAAAAACTCTTCGTGTGGCCTGGAAAAAAAATTACATGAAAGTGGTTGGAACAGACCAAGCTGGTGCTTAGTCTCTCTCGTAAATTTTGTGAGTGGAAAAAAGTGAACTGTAACACTTACCCAACAATACTAAGGTCCGCTTCAAATTTGACAGGAACAAGGAGAGTTTCTTCATTATTGGATTTGTCCGCGTCCTCACTGAGGCCACTATGAATATGAAAATAAGAAATTTATCATCAGAGAATCGCAGTCAACAGCACCTCAAGTTTTAACTTCGAATATCTATTTTGGTTATCGACAACCTACACATGGTTGGGATACTTCGGAAATGATACACGAACATCGAATAGGCAAGCAAAAAATCTAAATCTAATGGAAAAGTACCATTTTCTATGGTTGTGTAGTGTGTAGGATCCTTTAACACAGTATATTACTTGGTTTTCTTTGACAAAAGTAATCAGGTTTGTACTAGTTACGCACAGCAGTTGAGCTTTTCGCATGTTCAAGTGCCACTCCCGCTAAAAGCGGTCCACTCTACTTCCCGTCCAAAAAAATTTTCCTTAATTTTTCCTATGAAAAGGGTTTAGGACACATATTTCAAAAATAGTTTGGTTGTTTTTCAATTCTTTTTTTTTTTGCCCCGCCACAAGCGAAAATTGACTTTTGCTTAGACCACCCATGTAGACAAAGATCGAAAGTGTAAATTTCACAACTTTCGTCGAGCGCGCTGCGACTGCAGTAGTGTAGCTAACGGAATTTTCTCTTGCTTCAAGTTACAATCTATTTTCAGTTAGTTCACAGCGTGATCAGAAGAGACCCTTCCTTTCGACCTTAATTTGCATATCAAAAATTAACCAATTTAAAACAAAGAATTCTCAAAATGCAGGCGTAAATCGGGCTAAAAAGACATATCGGAGGATAGTTTATACACCAAGGAGGTTACCAATTGCCTCAAACCCGCGGGTATCTCTCTAGCTTTCATTCACCCTGATCTTGAAAACAACGCAAATCAATGTCTTTACTTAATCGCGCACGTGTCAAAGCTCATTTGCATAACTCTGAAAATGACCCATGATATGTCTTTCACCGTTCAAACTTCATTTGTTTATCATCTACGTAAGGTATTTTAGGTTTTCCTTACAAATGGATGGAAAATAAATTCCGAGTCATCCTAAAACGTTGCATAAACATAATCAGTCGTAACGGTTGCATGACAAAGTAAGCAAAGGTGATCGGAAGGCGGTTCCCTCGATAATTTTCCTTGAATCAGGTCAATAGCCAGAGAAAATTCCGTGAGCTACACTGTTGCAGTCGCAGCGCGCTCGACGAAAGCTGTGAAATTTACACTTTCGATCGTTGTCTACACGGGTGGTCTAGCCAAAGGTCAATTTTCGCTTGTGGCGAGGCAAAAAAAGAGAATTGGAAAATAACCAAACTATTTTTGAAATATGTGTCCTAAACCCTTTTCATAGGAAAAAAATTAAGGAAAATTTTTTTTGGACGGCAGTTGAGTGGACCCCTTTTAGCGGGTGTGGCACTTAAGTACTGACCTTGTAGCCTCGAGGTGAATAGTAAACTGAGTGATGTTTCCCGTGACTCTTTGGGCGGTGAATACGATATCGAACTCTCTCTAATTGTTTGAAAAAAAAGTTAAATATAGTGCTTAACACAGAATAACTTCCCATTTAGAAAAATAGCAATGTTGGACTCTAGGAATACGTCTTGGGGCATTTAGATAATACATAACTAAATCACTGAGGAATAAAAGAAAAAAAAAAAAACAAACGTCTCTCTCTTTTCTTTTAGTGGCTTGTGGTTCAAAGCTTTGCAGCTGTAATTCAAGTTATGGTCAAGTGAAACCACATTAGATTTCTGAGGCTCTAGCCAAAAGCCTTCTTAATAATGATGTAAAAATAAAGAGAACCGTAATTGGTTAAAAGTGAATGAAAACGTCAGTCAGGGAAGCTAAACAGGTTTAATTTTGAAGCAACGACTGCGTCAATAAAAAAAGAGAGGGTTGATTCTTGACTTGCCGCTTGTTTTTTACGTTACTTACTTTAGTGTTTCCTCTGAAAGGATTTCCAATAGCGCACTCTGCTTGTCTGTTGCCGTCGTCCAACAACTTTGTTGAACAAGATACATCCTGAAAAAAAATCAAGGAACTCAAGATGCTTAAAACAACACTAAAATCAAACAAAGCGCACACACGCTTGAAACCTAACAAACAAACGAGCAGCAGCTAAAAAATCAGGCTGGACCGCAGTAGGTTTTGGGTATTCTAGTATCTAGGGTCTTTTTTTTTGCTATAGTAAGGGGATTCTCTTATTACAATGCGAGTGTAAATCATATCTCTCCCATTGAATCTTTGGTATTTGGTAAATCGAGACGAGTCAATTTTGAGAATTTAATATCAATTTTTTTACAATCTGGGGGCACATTGGTTTCTCATCTCACCGACCCACTTTGGTCGATGCCTGGCATATAAAAAAATAGTTTGAAAAAGCTATCGTGTCGAATAAACCTGCGCTCACAGGACATCAACACAAGCAAACCAGTAGGACAACTTTCATATCAGGACAACTTTTTCGAACACTTGAGCTGTCTGTAATTCTGGTGCATTACAAAATACAAGTAAAATCTACCCGGGAATCAACCGAAGATTCTACGGGCAGTCAACGTTTTTCGTTAAACTTACTTCAAACCTTCTCTTTCACGGTAGGAAATAAACCGAGTAACAATAAGTCTTAAAAAAACAGAACAAAACAAAACAGACAAACAAGGAAACAAACAATTTTTAAATTTGGAAAAGACATTACTCGTGTCATCTTTAGTTACAAATGGTCGTCGTACAATTTGAATTTACAATTTACACATTACGTTCTTCCTCCAGATAACTACGAACCTCACTGTTGGCGTAGTCGATGAGGGATGGATACGTCACGATGACCTTTCCAGGGTAGGCTGCGTCCTGTGCTTTGTTCTCTACCTCTACCCGAACAAGGAGCGTTTTCACATCCCCAATCAGAAGTTCGCTTTGCTTCCTGTCATAAGGTAATACAATCTTGCTTCACGTTAACCCATCTTAATCATAGCACGCGCTTTATCCAGTTCATTACATTGGAAGTAGGCAACATCGATGGCAACAAGGATAGTGATTTTCTTCTTGGTAAATAAGAGATATCTAGCGAATAAGGGGGTAAGTTTCTAAAGAAACTGTGCTGCTACGTCGGCGAGGGGGACTATCGCCGATCACGTTTCGAGTGTTAGAACTTCGTCAAAACGTCACCCTTAGAAATTATTTACCGGGGGGCCAATTTACACTATCACCTCATTTAAGACAGCAAAATTACTGGTGAAACTAAAATTGAGTTTTTCCGTCTGGTCGCAATGTTTTTAAATTTGAATAATTCATGTGATTCGTTGGACTTATAGCGAATGTGAAAACTTTTTGATATCTGTTGTAGTATTTAAAACCTCATAGCCATAACATTAAATAGAGTGTAACAGACGTACGGAGAATTAATGTTCAGGTCGATATAAAACTCACCCATCACCATATATCACTGATCCTTTGATAGCTAAGTCTGGTTGACAGATTTTGTCGTTTCCACATTGCTTGATAAAGCCTACCTGTAAAAAAAAAAAAATTAAAATTGACTAGCGTTACTCGACATGGAGATGACAGCAAGAAAGTACCAGGTTGAAACATAAGTGATTTTATATCAAATACTAACTGTGGCTCTAAAAGACCGCTGAGCAATGTCATTGTAGTTGTTTAATATTGGACAAAGTGTACAGGATGGGGACTGCGTAAGATCGTAGGTCAGATCAAATGTCAAAGGATCAAACACGTCTTGGAGCTGGTCCATTTCCTGATGAAAAAAAAGCAAATTATGTTCAAAAAATGATAACGATTAACATTGCTGTACATTATGAGTAAGAATTAACTCGGCAAGTGGGGTTGACTGTTAAATTCATTAAAGAAAAAGAAATCATAAATTGCCAAGAAATGATAAGCGTCAAAAGGAAGAGAATTTAAGGTAGCGCTAAACAGCTATCTCAAGATTATTTTTGTGCAGTTTTGAAAATTGTATCTTGAAAGTCCATTATCAGGGTTACCTGATTCATTTTGAGTTCTGAGCCACTAAGCAAAAGAAGACGATCACTACAAACTCGTCAAAGCAACTGAGTGTCAAAAATAATCCAGGATTTCACTTGACGGTTCTTTTTTCACCATGCTATCGTCATCATCTAGGCAACCAACCATAGGCAAAAATAAATATTGGTTGATATTTTGGCTTCATTTGCGCTTGATTGTTTTCTTGAGCTTTTGACTTTTGTCACCATGCGCTGTGGTGACTACATAAGATTTGACACTCAATCATGAAACCGCCGCCGCCGCTTTAATGCTTAAGTAACTCAACTTGATTTACGAAAACGTACCCTGAGATATGCGGTGTCAACAAACTGGCAATACCACTCATTCTCCTTCGTCAATACGACATGTCGTGAAGTAGAGAATGCAGTTTTGTCTCCTTGAAAGAAGAACATCCGGCGAAGATCGAAACCATCATTGAAGCGATCTTTGTCAAGTTCGACTGAGAATGAGACGTTTGGCTGACCTGAGATGATATAGAACGAAAAAATAAAAATGTCTTACGAAGGTGACGCAGGAATCATAGAGGAATGATCCAAATGGAAATAAATTTCAGGAACTTGAACAGGGAAAGAGAGGAGTGGTAGAAATACCGTGAGACGGTCTAACAGGCAAGAACAAAGACAGATGAAGAGACCAACAGACGGTCTAACAGACAAGAACAAAGACAGATGAAGAGACCAACAGACGGTCTAACAGGCAAGAACAAAGACAGATGAAGAGACCAACAGACGGTCTAACAGGCAAGAACAAAGACAGATGAAGAGACCAACAGACGGTCTAACAGGCAAGAACAAAGACAGATGAAGAGACCAACAGAAGGACTGACAGGCAATTAATCAGGCAAAGGGCCGTCCAGGCAGGCGTAGTTACGTTGTTTTAAAGGGAAACTCCACTCTTTTAACAAATAGCGCTCAAAATGCTCCAAATGCAGTTCTCAACAGATCTGGCATAAAGAAAAAATTTGCTCAACCAAGCGATCTGATTTTTTTTATTGTTTTCCAAAGATGGGTCTTACAGCCACTTCGAATATCGCGCGACCGCCATCTTGAATAGTGCGCAATGCACTCTGGGCTGATGACGTGTAATGGTTGCGTTATTCGTAAAAGAGTGGAGGAATTTTTTTAGCTTTTTTCTAACTTTTTTCTATGAGTCAACTCTTTAACATCCTTTCTAGGGTGTTATTTTTTTTATCATTTTTAATTTTTGGATACCTTTGCTACCTTGAATAAAGTATGTGTGTATGAACCAACAGACAAGCAGAGTAGTATGCTAAAAACAGGAAAAAATGATAAGATAACCTACCAAGTGACTGCATCTGACTCTTGTATTTCAAACAAATAGTTACATTTACACTGCAACCAAAAAAATATAGTTATAGAGTTTTTCGCGATTGCAATTTCAAGTTGTTTCTGTTGGATTCCATGTCTATTTATTAGAATATGTCAACGTAATCATTAAATAATAAGCATCCATGTTATCCCACTGAACAAAGTAGAGTAGAAATAACGTGCAAATAGAGTTCAAATGTCCTGCGATATTGTACAGATAGTTATTTTGAGCAGTAAAAAAACCCCGTTTAACCGGTAAGCTGTGCGCGTTTCGTTTTTCTATCTGTTTCGCTTTTCCTGCCTTATGGGAGATGAGCAGGAAATAAAGCAGTTGGATAATAAATAGCTTATTGGACGGCTTGGTGTGTAGTGTCCCTGAGTATTTTTACTCTTTTTATGTATTTTGACTCGCCGTACGGGCTCGGCACAACTCGTAAAAATACTCAGCGATACTACACACCAAATGTCAAATAAGATATATATATATTTCAAATTTTTGATTTCAGTTCCATTTTCATCCCTTTTTTCCATCCCTGTTCATCTTCGTTCCCTTGTCTCTCCGATGATTGAAGGCTGATAGTTTCGAAAGAAACTGTTTGGGGCTGCGTCGGTGGGAGTAACGAAATAATTTGGATATATCAACAAAGTTGAAATGGTAAATTGGCCACCGTAATGATGATTGGCCACCCCTCGAGTACAATTATCTAAGGCTTTCATTCCAGTCAACAACAATTCTCAACGAGCCCAGTCCCCAATCCCTCCCCCCTTAAAATGTTTGAAAAAAGTACCTTTTTCGTGAAACACCGTCTGCTGCTAACTGCACGGTTTTATTGTCTTCCAGTGAAATTTGAGACACACTCAGTTTTAGTTCACCGTCCATCTCTACAATTGGTCGTGATCTATCGAGTAGAAAAATTAAAAAAAAAAAAAAATAAGTGTTCAATTTAAAATTAGACAGTGCTCTACCATGACAGAACAAGTTTCAATTGCACAAGGCTAAGCGTGTGAAATAATAATTGCCTTATCGTATTAAAAGCGCAGAAAAATTACGCCTGTTCTGCAGGCTGGGGCGGATAGAGCTGTTGGCAAAATCATCCTGAATATAGATGAGTATGGCTCGTCATTACTGTTGAATGCCAAGTGTTCTAATCAGTCTAACTCAGATTAGTGTTGGTTTGGCATTCCATTGATCAAGAAATACACTTTTTAAGATTCTTGAGATTTAGAAATGTGCTCTGTTTAGTTTTACCTTAGAAGGAAAGCTCTGTCTGAGGAATACGCACCGACAGCCAGATCTGTGTAGAGAAGAGAATATTTACGAGAATGGTAAGAAGCATGTTGCGAAGGACTGGACATCATACGACTAAGTATACTCGTCAGCAGCTCCCCCGTTTGTGCTTGTATATAGGGAAACTACGATAAAACCTCATTAGACTTCTAGGTACCTGGTTGCTTCTCGGCACATTCAGTTTGCCATGGTCTATTTTCATTCCTTTTTAAAAGTAGTTACATAAGGATACTCTTAAAAAATTACAGGAAACATTTTCCTTCGGGGTTCTCATTCTGTTCAGTAAAAGAAACCAGGGAATTCACAACGTCCTTAAATCGCACACTGCTACTGTTCTCAAAGACGACGCTTTTGCTTAGTCACGATCTTTTTTGCCATCGTGGTTTGCTTAACTGTGAATTCCTTTTTCCCTAATCCACCAAGTCACACAGCCTTTCAAACTACTCGGTGTACAAAAAAACCTGGCGATTTTTATTTCAAGAGGACATCAATAAACTGCTCAATTAGGCGAATTCACATGATCTAACTGACCTGGATAGCCATTGTTGTCCACGTCAACATTTCCAGCCAGAGAAAATCCAAACGTTTTCACTCCTCCAGAAATTTCTGACGCCTCAATTGCCTGCGTTGAGTGCAAATATTTTTTAAAATAAAATAGATGCAAAAACGAAAAAAAGATAATAATAATAAAAAAATTTGGTGCTCTTTTACATGACTTATAGCAGGAATGCCGTTAAGATGATTCACTCACCTGTCTGAACGAACTTTCAATGCCATCTTTCGTGCCGAAGTAGATAAATACAACACCTCCTCGATCTCTACCTCCATAAGGTGCACTTATTGCAACATCTGTTTTTCAGAGGAAGATGGAAAACAAAATTCGAAGGATGTTTCATGTGAATCCACAATATATCTTACAACTCTAAATCTTTTTCTTGTTGGGTTGAAGAATAAGAAACATATTACAAGAAAAAAAACAACTGTGTTATTTTTGAAACTGCGACAGCCAGCCAAAATAAAGCACGTTCCCTTGTGATGCAGAAACACAAGCGATATCAGCTGAGGATTTTCGCCGAACGTTACTCCGAAGATCAAATTTCTATCGGACTTGCAATTTTCATCGGCGTTAAACTGAATTTTTGAAGTCAAAGTTCAAGTAAAAAACCTCTCATTAAAACCTTCATTTATCTTCCACGCTGACCGCTCTAACGCCTTATTTCGAAAAGCGCGTGCTCAAAACTGGTGCTCAGACGCTCAGACTCTGTTTACGTGTTGTTATCCGCTATTTTTAATTGTTATGCGGGTGACCGGCCCCAGACTACCGTTCCCCGTTCCCTGTTCCCTGTTCCCTGTTCCTCGTTGTCAGAAACATCTGATTGCCGCTCTACTACAGAAAGTTTTTGCCGTGTACCTGGAAATCCATCCCTGTTTAAGTCTCCTGCTACAGCCATCGCGTACCCAAAGAGAGATCTCATCGTTTTTCTCCCATCCAGCGTCATAGATTCCTCATGGTTAAGAGTTACGGGGGCCTGCAGCGCAAACAAATTGATTGCATCTCAACTCGATGACACAGCTGTCAAATTTTGAGCACGCGCAAGTGGATCAAAATTTCAATCAAAGACCGCTATCACGCAAAATCGACGTTTAACAGTTACCTTTCCGCTATTAATGTACGTATAAACTCTTCCTTCATCTCCGTATTCACTGTGTCTGTAATAAGGAGCACCAACAAGCAAGTCGGAGAAACTACAATAAAAAAAGAAAATAAATAGATAAAACAAATCAGATTTGATAGTCATTGCTTTACCAACGAAAAGTTACTTCACCTGTCAAGAATATTCCTTACCCATCATTGTTTAAGTCCACCACACAAAGGGATTGACCAAAATTGCTTCCCAACTTCAAAAGAGAAAAACATTAATAGAAAAATGAGACTCTGAGCTAAAATTAAGAAAATAAAGAGAACTGTGTTTTAGCTCCTAGTGGAGTGAAGATCTGCCTTTAATATTCTTATCTTATCTGATAGAATCCAAATAATTTCATTAGCGTTAAATGTAATATACAAACCCGGCTAACGATTTTACATTCTTTTTGCCACACAATTAAAGCAATGCAATAAATCATTCAGCCTTTAGAATTTTTCTGTTGGTACATGCTCCCAATGCACTCAGCTGCGTGCGACAAAGTTACAGAGTTGTAATCTCCCAATTGTAAGGAATTCAATTCGACGTGGAGATAGGAAAGGTTTTAAAATTTAGTTGAGATATCACTTGGCGGATATCCCGTGGGTACTCTTCTTATAAGGGACATACTCGCTCTGTGAAGACCCTTCACCGATCGCGCGCGGGCGATACGATACCATTGATTTTAAAATGGATTGTATTCTCTTTTGTCAATGGTGATGAGTACCTGAGCAGCTGCGGGTAAAGGAAGAGTAAAGCTGACGGACGTTTCAAAGTTGGCCGTGTTCACTTCAAATGCTACAACCTGATGAAGGAGAAAAAACCAAGACGTAAATGTCAATCGATCCCTCTGTTTAAAATTGTAAGTAAATCACAAAAGAGGGTCAAGAAAAAAAAAGCAATATCTACAGTTTTGTCAACACAGAAACAATAAATCAAGGTGAACTGACATGCCTTAATGCACCGATCAGAAATTGAAGCGACAGCATCATGCAACCCAAGCCAAGCGCGGGAAAAAACGGTTCGCGAAAAATGCGCAAGCACGTGCCAACCAAATAGAGAAAACGTATTCTCCTTCAGTAATTATGGGGTCTTGTGGGTTTTTCTCCCCTGAGCTTCAGTAAAAACGAGCTTTTCAATTCTCGACTATAGGACTTTAGAACTAATCATTACAAAGATACTGAATGTTCTGTACCTTTCCTAAGAGATTATTAGCACGTGTTGAACTTGCCAGAAACTCTGAAATGAATATGAAAAATTAAAAAAGGAAAACAAGGAAATGTCAGGGTATGTTTCTAATGGGCAGCGTTTTCGCTCGTCAGAGTAACTCTAAGTAGAAGGCATTCAACAGACATTCATGTCGTGATGTTACTTCTTACCTTCTATTTTATTATTTTGATACTTGAAATTTCCCATTCCAACGGCGAAGCCTATAATGCAAATGTAATCATGGATTAATCGCCCGAATTATTTTCGAATTAGAATTGTCCTCAATACTCTGCAAAGAGAATCGGAAATATTCGGCCTGCATTGAATAAATATATCTTATTAGGCGTTTTGTTGTGTAGTATTGCTAAGTATTTTTAACGAGTTCTCCCGTAGGGCGGGTCAAAATACAAATAACGAGTAAAAACACTCGGCGATACCACACACCAAAACGTCTTATTGGTTATTTATCATCCAACACGCCAAACTGTTATTTCAGTGCGAGCGAATTTGGTGGATATTTATTTAAATTTTCAGTAATCGAAGCACAGAACTAAACCGCTTTAACTTGGGTAACCTTTATTGCCATGTAAGGCAAACTCGAACTAAGGTCGACAGCAATTCAGGATTGAATGGGTTTTGTTGCACTGCACTCTGTGTTGGTCAAATGTACCCGCCTCACCCTTTCAACCAAGCAAATACCAAAACCAGTCATGTCTTGAACCCTCGCGTTTGTGCGCGTTGAATTCAATCATGATTTTACTTGAGATTTCATTGGCTGTCTGGCGTACTTTCTTGGATTTGGTTAACCAACGTAACTGCTGGGGTTTTGGATTTTTCGACACAAATAGAAAAATAACATTAAAAAGATTTAAAGAAAGCGATTGTCACATTTAAGCTCACCTAGAGCGCTACCACTGCTAAGATCACGGTATTGAGCTGAAAAGGTCCTTGCAGAATCTTGAGTATCAGAATAATACACAGAGATTGATCCTATTTGAGAAAATGGATAAATGCACTTTTAGATATGTAATGGAAGGTTGAAAAAAAAAATTAAAACCATTGTTTCTATGTGTTACGTCCTATGCGTATCTCATTTTTCCTGAGACACTAGTTGGGCGCTTTACCATGCAGAAAATTTTTAATGATTAAATTTAATGATCAGATTCCTCTTTAGAACAAAGAACCTGTTAAAACGAGCCTTTGCTCTTAACAGAAGCTTCATTGCTCAATTGATAGAAACCGGCCCCACCGGTACCTAGGAACCTCACGAATTAGTCCATGTGGAAGTCCAAATTTTTTTTAGATCTCTTTTTCTGTAATTTAGATTGTTTTATTCAACCTTTGCCAGTGATTATCAATGTGCCACTTGTTATTTAATCCACTTATGGATTAAATAATAAATAATAAATAAAATAATAAAAAAATATGAGAATTATGGTCAATGTAGACCTCACCATTCAACAAGTATCTTCCGGGAGCACCCATAAGCACAGTGAACCCATCCTTTGACAGTGCAGCACTAAATCCAGCCTCACAGGCCCCCTCCTTATTTGCGTCGTACTGGTCGCTGAACCCGTTGTCTGAATTGGAGAAATATAAAAATAGATCTTAAAAACGTGGCTCGTTTGCTGGTCCTAAATACTTCCCACTGGAACTATGACAGATCTTTATCGCAAAATACGCACTAACGTGCGCATACAAGCGAATTAAATCTTGGAAAATTCTTCATCACTCTCGGGCAATAACGAAAGCAGCATTTAGACAATTTTTTGTCGCCCATCTTCCCTGTAAACGCAGCCTGATGTAATCAAATGAGCAAAGGAAAATGTACTTACTGCCGCGATAGCATGGCCGAATACCGTTTTGCGTCGTTCTGCCGGACAAGTCATTCCTTATAAGGAAGCATTTTCCCAGCAGTAATTTTCTTCTATCTTCAGGTCTACCACCGCGTGCAACCTCTCCACGGAAAGTGTACTTTGGTGCACAGGCCTAGGTTTTCATCGGAAAAGAAAGTAAATTATCTTCAACGGACGAACGGGGATGATGTAGGCAGGGATTGGAATGAGGAACACTGGGATAAGCCGTTACTCCCCAGAGAGGGTAAGAAAATTTAATTTGAATCTACGGTCAAAGTTTCTTTTTTAGTTGACGGGAAAACCGCATCTCTTACAAGCATCTTGTTATTCGCGCTGAAAAGAGAGCAACACTTGATTCTAGGTAAGTTATATTTGACAACGTGGAAAACGCTGACCAGTACGTACCAACAATGCGCCGTTGTCTTTGGTAGGTATGCTGTCCAAAGTTGCTCCAAGCATCTGGCCGTTCTTCTCTTCTAAATTCGACGATTGGGTGTTGCCATTTTCATCTCTCCAGTAAGTTGTCAAAGGCACTGTGAAATAGATTTACGATAAATCAAAAGCTAACAGCCTTGTCACTTTACGATGTAAGGTAGATCAAAGTAAGGTCCTCTTGTGAGCCTCACAGAGAAGCTCTCACTTATGCCAGACTGCGCACCGATCGTAGTGGCAAAATACAACGTCTGGGCACCAGGCTAGATGCACAGGATACTGCATCCTCAGAAGCTGCATTACAAAGTGTGATCAAGAGTTGAGAAGTGGCTGACTGTAAAGGGATAGCTTATCCGTAATTTCAAAGCAAGTCAGTGAATAAATGGGACGGACAACAAAGTACGAAGCGATCATAGTTGTAAAAATTTGATTCTTTTAACAGGACAGCCGGAGCTTGCCTGAGATTTTTCCTCTTTTCACTTCACTTTCGATGAAATAAAAAAACTGGCCGGAACTCCCATTAAAAAGGGAAAACCTCCAACAGTAATGATGTAAACCGAGGTGAAATGATGAGGCTATTTGAACCTAACAAACGAGTAAGAAAAACTGGTAAAAGTATGTCAAACAGAAATCACCGTTACACACATGCCAAAGCGGTGGATACCACAAAAACCAACACTATAATCCATTAGTAATTACAGAACAATTATAAAAATCGCAAGAATGACCGAAAGTATACAGGCTTTTCTACAGTTTTCCATCCCAAGCCTCTCGCGGCTTTGTCACTCTACGTACACTTCACAGTGCACACAAAACCACCAGCAGCAATGGCGTACTTACTGCTGTTGTCAATTGGTATAACGCGACATGGGTTTGACTGCAATTTTGAATTGCATTTATACACACTTCCATAACCAGTTCTTTCAGTGTCTCCCGACGTTTTGTTTCCAAACGGCGCACCTACGACCACCCTAAAAATTAAAATAATACTGTGACGTTACAAATTAGTAAATTAGTAAATCAAAGAAGGCGCTGGCTTCAATTGTTTTTATTCTTTATCTTTGTCTAACTACCACTTATTTTCCTTGGGCGTTGTATTTACATTTTCCCCGTATTAGGGAATCAGGAAATTTACAACTATCTTCTGTGGTGGGTTGGCTGCAGAAAATCGCTGAAAAGCGAAAGGCTAGGTTGAAATATTGGCTTCTGTTCCAAAATAACTCCTCTTCGTTTTGAACCTCTATAAATGGTCACATTTTATGCATTCCATGAAAGTCTGCAAGGCCAGGTGGTTTTTGCATAATACCGTCTCGATCATGTAATTCTAATATATCTTGCATAAGTTATATACACATCGAGCGATTTTATTCAGAAATGTCAAAGATTTACCGAGTAAAGAAATAAACCAATAAAGAATGACTCATTAATATCGTTTTCTTTTGTATTTTATGCGCGCATTAATCGCAACACCACTCGAAATGAATAACTGATTCAGTTGAAGTCAATTGAATCACGATTCGTAGAATTGAGCTTTTACGAACCAACTCAGTCTCCCTTGCAAAAAGCTTTAAATGTAAGTTGTTCTGGCCGCGAATACGTAAAATTGGGAAAATCAAAACAAACAGGAGTACTTACACTTGTTGCTTCTTCGTATAATTACAATCATCGTCTTGAACAACTGGTTTTCTGCCAGTGTTAATTAACTTGGCACGACAGAGCTCGTTAGAACTTCCATGTTTTATCAAGAACAAAGCGATAAGAATATAGCTCGCTAACAAGATTACAACGGTTCATACTCATTTCTCTCCCTTGGAATATGATCAGCATTTTGTAGATACAATTAAACTTAAAATTACTTCTAGCGTTACAAACCGTAAATGAACAATTTGATTTGAAAAATATCGCGATCTTAGTTTGTATAATCGAGTGATAAGTTGTCAAGGTTTTCCGAACTGTTAATCTTTCAACATTCTGTCACGTTGTACTTGAAGGATTGTTACTAAAGAGCTAGGGAGAGCTAACAAACGGAAGCCAAAACATTTATTTTGATCACCAGTACTTCAGCATTACGTGATAAATTTACTCATCTCTGCAGACATTTAAAATTGAAGTTACGACTTACCAATTTGTTGCTCCCTCTCTGTGAAGAGTAACAGTATATCCAAAATATTCCCCGGACGTGCCATTATAGATGAACGGATCTTTTGCATCTAAATTAAAAGCTAAAACCCTCGTCAAACACACCATAACAGCTAAGAAAACAAAGCGATTGTGAGTCATCGCCAAAAATCTGGAAAGCCCAATGCAAGAGCTTAAAATATGCTTGAAATAACGTAGTAGACTTCGATAATCAGTCGGTCAACGAACGTCTGCCCCACGTGTAATGTTGTCGGTGAAAATGTAAATCATCAAGAATTTATATTGCTCCTCAACGTGAATTCCAATGATTTGTGTTACAATCGTGTTGAACCGGAACCGGAAGTCGTGCATCACAATGCATTGGAACTTTTCCTTGTGTTACGTGTTGGAGGAAATTGAACTCCGAGTTGACATTTTAAGTTGATTTCTATTTCAAATACTATCTTTCGTCTTCCTTACTAATTTAGTCGATGACTAAAATAGCCAGGTGGCTTGAGTTTGTAGGAATTCGCTTCTTTTTCCAAACAATCTATATGTTACTCCTTTAGTTGAGGTGAATTATGTTCCAAGTTTAAGACATTTTTAACAATCGTGAGTACAAAAGCATAGTCACTTCCGATTATGACGAAAAGTTACTTCCGTTGTCGTCATCTCAATAATTATCACGCCCTCGTTATTCTTTTTTAGCATTTTTTCCTCCTCTTACTCAGTTCTTAGCTCTATTTTGATCTGTTAGCTTTCTGTTTCGGTACTGAAAGAAAGACCATTTTTTTTATGAGAGGCGGGAGTGGTCTCAATTCCGGAGATATTCGACAGCAAAAGGAGCTCTGATGTTGCCTACTTGTCCGTTAATTCCTGAATGGGCTCGTTACACAGAATTGGGAAAAAGCTCTGGTACTTCTCGTTAATAATAATATTTTTAAATTGGGGTTAACGACTCTGTCAAGTCATCAACACGTCTTCTTATTACTTTCATTTCGTAAATAATTTTAATAATAATAATTTTCGTAAATAATAATATTTTTAAATTGGGGTTAACGACTCTGTCAAGTCATCACACGTCTTCTTATTACTTTCATTTCGTTACGTCAGTTGTAGTGTTTTATGGCGGCATTTCTAATTGGTGTTGGTATTGAAGTGATGTTGTCGTAGTTGCATGTTAGTGGTGAATAGAGCAATTAAGTAATCCTGGGCTGCTTTGCTTTTGCTTCGCTTGGGTCTGTGATTGGTTTAGAAAACTAACTCAAACAGACGCCAAATGAAAACCAATGTCAGTTTCTCGACAAATCGACTTGTAACCAAGAAAGAGACTGTCACATTTTTTCGAGCTACTCATTTGAAAGGAACACTTGTTGGTGTAAAGACAATTTTAAAGCACAAACCACTTCAGGCAGTCAGCGAAGTTTAAGTTCTTACCTTTTTTCCTTTGACATTTTGCTCTACCTCTATTAAGTTTCCTGTTCCGATATTTCTCCCTCGGTTCTTCTAAAATATATCATAATACTGTATTTAAATATGATTCTATCCAAGGTTAGTCTGAGTCCTGGTAAATCTCAACGATGTTATCATATTTCTGCGAAATATCACGAGAGCAACTGATACGAATAACATTTGAAAATTTACATTTTAAAAATAAAGGCAGTCGATTTTAAGATAAAAAAAAGTTTATTTGATTTATGGCCAATAAATGAGATATTTTTATTACAAAATGGCAATTAAATAAACGTTACTGATAAACATGGCATTTGTCATATTGTACGATTCTTTCAAACACACTGGTGAGAACAAAAACATCATTACCTCACAAGAAAAGTTGTAGTTATCTTATTATATTTTTTTTTTCTTAAAAAAGCTAACTTTTAAAACCCACAACAAGATTTTTTCAAGAATTCAATTCTATACGTTGATCGTCTGGAACAACTACTTATGACAGGGATACACAACACACAAAGTCGCTTGAAAGTTTAAATTCCATAAAGTGAGATTTGTCTCACGACTATTTTTTGGGATCTTCATTTATTACAAAGTTTTGCAAATTTTCCTATTCACTAAAAAAACAGTTCCTTGCAAGGTTGTTAAAGTATTTCGTTAGGGTATAGTACTAAATAATTTTTTTTAGCCTTAAAAATGAGGTGCTAGCTACAAAAGTTCTCTCTCTATTTGCCAAGTGTTCCATGGGTTAAAAACGAAACGCATTCTACATAACGTTCAGTTCCGAGGTACTCGGGCCTGAGATGTCCTTTATTCGTTTTCTCTTGAAAAATCCACACTAAAAAGGAAATAAACAAAAAAATATTACAGATGAGATTTGAGAGTTTTAAATCTGTAACAGCTCAACTGTGAATCCAAAGTAACGCAGTTTTTTTCCGCTTTTTTTAAATACTAACTGTTTCTTTTGATTCCATCCGTCCTGACTTTAATTGACCAGACACTGGCCGCTGTAACCGCTTTGGTAGTTTGCTTTTTTAACACTGCTATGCTAGCATTTTAGACGAAAGTATTGAATTATTTTTATAAATTAAGGATCCTTACTGGTTCTTTGCATATGATTTTCCTAGATTCACCAATATCAATAGGTCAAAGAGTCAAAGAGTTATATGTGGTATAACTCATTAGGACCTGACAACTTTTTTGTTTGTTCGTTTGTTTGTCTAACAGTTTTGCAAAAACTCAATCATCTTTGCGCTTACACAGATTAGAATGATCTATAACTGGAACAAGCCAAAATGAAACCAGAAAAAAATTCCGGTTTGTCTGGTTGAAACTCAGTATAATAAGTTTCATTGGAGAGTCGCTTGGTCAACAGGAAATGGCACAGGTTTAAGGCGCGAGTATTTTTAAGTACTTAGGGCAAAGAAAGGCCGATATCTTATTTTCAGGGAATAAAATGTTACACTAAGGCTAAAACAAAGCAATACAAAACAGAGGAGTCGGTTTTATCGATTCACGTGCAAAGTAGGAAATGTTCAGTTCATTTATCTGGCGTCACGGTGAGATGTCGTCACACTTGATCCTTACTCTGAAGTCACGCAAGTCACGCTCATTTCGTTTGTGTCATTGGTTCGCTTTCCTCCATGGGACCCGAGATGTCCTTTACACGTTTCCTTTTGAAAAATCCCAACTGGAGAAAAAGGAAAAACCATTCACAAGGCAGAAAACTCAAAAGGAACAAAACACTCGAGGAAGTGAAGCGAGAATGACGAAGCGAAGTACAATGGTACGATGCAGATGAAATCCATGCAGACTGTGGTTAAAAGGATGTTCGTAGTTATGACGCACAACGAAATGATACCACTTTTGCTGACCAACCAGTCTCCAACAGTAGATTAATCAAGTGAAGCTTAACTTACAACAGCATTTAACGATAGTAACAAAGATAGCTGGCCTTGATAAAGCTTTGTTTACACCAGCCCTTTACAAAACAAAAGTTTCTTACAAACATGTACCAACAAACAAACAAAAACCCTTCACCAAAGCCAAATTTTGTTTAACTGCACAAGGACTAAGCAGGCTTACGCATTTAAGGTTTCTCATTTACACTGATATTTCTACTTTTGTAGCTTATTCTGAGCTTTTATTTAACCACACTTACAGCTGACAGCACAGTACATCCAAAACGTAAGAGGTTGAGAATTACGATATTCGTAATTGATTGTTTTGAATTGACGTGCACGTGATCAATGAGGACGAGAGAGGGTTAGCCAGTAGTAGTAATTTTAATTATTGTTAATGATTACTTCCTCATGTCGATATATGGGTTACAACCGTTTTTCGCAAAGAATTAGCAGTTGTAGTTCCCGTAGTTAGTTTGGATCCAGGTGTAAATTTAGAAGTCTGATCGTTCGGGTGAAATTAGCTGCGAGAAGGATTGTTGTCGGTAATGGTGGGGCCGGATCAGATTATGATCAGCTTGAACTTCTTTGGTGAGCGACACAGAAGTAATTACTCTTCCTGCAAGGCTCGCTAGAATCTATGGGGATTTTTTAAATTTCTAGTTGTTAGCAGTTGCTCTAGCTAGAATCTAATATGGCAAACCCAAAGAAATGATGGAATATAAGTCTTACAGGAAATTTATTACTCGAAGCGAAGGATGCTATTCCCTGATGGACTCTGTAAACAAACTACTTGTTCCTTTTCTTTGAACTATCACAAAAATAGCTATAGTTACAGTGGTACAGCCCTTTGAAATAGTTTACCTTGTAACCTTAGAGAGACAGAATTGCAAAGTCAATTTAAGCTCTTACAATGTCTCAAATTTATAGATTAGATACTCGGCATTCATGGAGAACAGGCTTTAGGTTGGTGAATAATTTGGCAATATAAACACTGTAGTAAATAATTTTTGATGTTAAGATTGCGCAGTTTTTTTCTTTTGCTTAGTTATTAATTTTTTCATTGTCGATTGTAGCCTGATGAATTTTTTAGCGAATGCAAAGATTGAAGATTAAACTTCGTACGGGTTTGTATGGGAAAGACGGTTGTTTTATGAAGCGAAAAAATATTAAAGAATTCAGAAGGAAATAGCTTCCTTCGCGTTAGTTGGTGTGTTTGTGTCTCTTGTGTGATTTTTGTGTATGTATGTATTCGATTTTCTTGTGTATGTATGCATGCATGTATGCATGTATGTATGTATGCATGCATGCATGCATGCATGCATGCATGCATGTATGTATGTATGTATGTATGTATGTATGTATGTATGTATGTATGTATGTATGTATATGTATTTTTGGGTAAATTCAGAGGGAAAACGGACTCGAAGTATTAAGAACCGTTCCGGCGAATCGCCATGAATCGACCAAAAACCACACCGAAGGTAAGAAATACACAACTTAAATAAGGTGGGCTACTTTTTTATGTATCAATTTGAAGAGAAAAAGAACTCCTGAAGATACTGCACGAATTTCGTATGTTTTAGGAGACGGACACAACACAAACACTGTCGAACTACTTTGGTCAATTCGTTGATAAGGGCCATTTAGGCAGGCTATCGTTAGTGAGATTTTATGTACTTCCTTTAAGGCAGCAAAATCATTCCAACACGCTAATAACATCGTATTAATCGTCATTAAAATCGCTTGAGGTTCTTCTATTTCCTTACCTTGTACAGGCCTGCGACGACCCCGCCCACCAAGAGAACACCGCCAAGGACAGAGAGCAAGATCACCCACCAAGCCACCTTCTTTTTCTGTGCCTCGGTCTGAGCTGGCTTGGCTGTCGTTATAATCTGTGACAAAGAAATAGAGTAGTAAGTCACGCAGTCACCAGGTCTACAACAGATCTGTAAAAACATCTGTTCCGTAAAAATTGCGCTCTCTGGATCTACAGTTTCAGCTATTACAGGTGCTATTTTATGGGGCTCGACGAAAAAAAGCATCCAATTAAGAGGTTTTTTTTATCTCCTCAGAAAGCTAAACACCATGCTTGCAAAAACTTTTTGACTCGCATAGAAGATCGATTGGGCGGCGACACGATACGAAATACAGTCACACACGTTTGCCTGACACCAGCAAATTGAATAAAGTGTGTCCATTAAGTCGTAATTCAGTTCTAGTTTATTATTACTGAAATCACTGGTGGTCCCTGTAATCTGATTGGCTCTAATTGGTGCGATTTATTTACAAATCGCACCATTTTTTGCTCTAAATCGCATTTTACGCTTGAATGAGTTTTTGACAAAGTCTTTCTGTTTTGCATTCAAAATAAGATGTAAAAGCGTTTCCGGTTCCGCTTTTGATTTAAAAAACCGGCTCAGTACTGCATCGATAAAATATTTGAATTGACCAAGTCCTGTATTTAGGTGATTTCAAAATGGATGTAATAAAGTGGTAATTGCACCTCGTGTCGTGCAATTTTGGTTGGAAATCATACTTGTGATTTCAAATCACGCGTATGATTTCAGCCCAAATTGCAGTCCACTCAGTTCAATTACCATTATAAAGCAGGTCAGTTCAATTTGAAACAGCGTTTTCTCATCCATGACCTAGACATCGTCACTTCACTTGTCATGTTCCTGAGTGGCAAGCGTACACCACATTGTATCAATGAGTGTGCTGTTCTCTTCCCTGTACCTACCGTTGCCTGGTCATTGTTCAGGTTCGGCTGAGTGATTATGCTGGGAACTTTTATCTTGGCTGTAGTCTCGAGGTCTACGGCTTTTGGAGGATCAAGTTCCTACCAAAACAAGTTAATGGACATAAAATTTAAATTCTCCAGAATAAAAAGACCTAAACGACACTCGAATCTATACGAGCTTCAAGTCTTTGATAGGCCCAAGGGTGCGTCACTTGAGAGACATTTTGGTTGGTATGTGTTGCTGAGGTCTCCAACTTTGCCCCTTTTCAGATAAATTGGTCAGGCGAAGGAGCATCGTCCTCGGATTAAAAGGCTGACGAACCTAGTCCATTGCAGATAATCTTTAAGTGTTTTACTAAGTTTTCCAGACATTTTTTGTTTTATATGGTCTCTGATTATTGTTTTTACTACTAAGTGGAAAAAGGCAGTGTGTGAATAAAATGTCATGCCCAAGAAAACAAAAACTGAACACATTCAACGCGATGCTCTTCTTATTTGGAAGTGAAGGCAAACCTTGATGAGAGTGTTAATCCAAAGTCGGAAAGTCATCTTGATATCCACTTTGTCACCTAACTTCAACTGACCCAAATTGCAAGAGAAAGAGCTGCAGCTTGCGGTGCGGCAGCCCTGTAAAGAAATCGAGTTAAAAAATATAATGAACTGTAGGAAATACTTTAAGGATTTTCAGAAGGTGTCAGCCTTGTAATAAACGATATTTGTCTTTCTTGAGGGGATTCATCAGTGACAAACAATTTCAACGAAATTTGCTGCACTTCTAAGACCATAACAACATTATTTAAGCTTTAAATGCGTTCATCCAAGAAAACTGGGTAGGGAAAATCAAGAACAAAAATTGGTTGAAAGGAAATATAAAATAAGAAGGCAAAATTTGGAGATTTAACTATTTGAGGAGCATACATACCAAAAGCATATTTTCTGCGTCACGCCGCCTGCGTGACTGCTTATTATCTTCTGTTGCATCAGTGGAATTAGACTCCTGAGGGAAAAAATTCAACAAAAAATAACCAACGCTAGTACACAGATTGTGACAATGTTGAATATTACTGATTTCACTGTCTTTTTTTAACGTCGTTAAACGCCCCATCTTCCACTAACCGTCGGTACCTCATGCAAAACTTTGGTCCTTTACACTTTCTTTCCTTAAATTTGTGCTTGCGTTCAACTTTTAAGACCTGTCACCTGGCGTAATTACAAGTCTTATCCAGCTGTTAGTTTTTTTGGCTCCAACTAAGTGAAATTCGATGACAAAGCCGACTAGAGAATTACCAATATTTCTTACGCTACACGCGTAGAGTTGGGGCGATTATCATGAGCAGAAAAAGATTGGTCAGCCTGAAGTACTCATGGGGAAAATTAGCCATTAATTCATAAGAACTGTTCATCAGAATGAGTTATTTTCTAAATTTTATCTGCTATTTTTTTGCTTACCCTGAGACCCAAAGGATTGACCTTCGCATCACAAGTCCCCGAGGCACCTTCAAGCTGCAGGAAAATTAAGAGTATAAAAAGCAGACTACAAACGCGCGACATTTCAATGAATGGATATATCAACAAAGTTGAATTGGTAAATTGGCCACCGTAACGATTACAAAAGCTGACGTTTCGAGCGTTAGCCCTTCGTCGGAGCGAATGTGTATAATGAGATTGTTGCATCCTCCTTCTAAGATTCAATGATGGATTATTTTAAGTTTGAAAAATCAACTTTCCAAAGTTCACACTTAAAACATGTCAACATAAGGTGAAAAAAATAAATTTTAAAAAAAAAAAAAAAATACACCCGATCGAGGGAACATTTGAGACGAGCCGGAGAGAGGTTTACCGGAGGTCTGGCACTAATAACTCAGTTGTAGAAAGGGCGGTAACGCTATCCAACGAATAAATCGCTAACCAGCAGATATGTGATAGAAAAACGTGCAGCGTTATCCACCATATAGAGTTGTATCCATTGAATAGCGCTATCCAACCTTCGAACAGCCGGGGCCAGTGCTAGATCCCTTCCAGACATCTCGCGAGCTCGCGTTACACCAGGCCTCAAATTTTCCCGCGCGCGAAGAAACACTTGTGCCGAAGAACTAATAAAGAGGCGCTGCTAAAAGGCTATCAATTTGGAGAAAATATACAGAGCATAAGTTACCTGGATATTCATTTTGATCCACGTCAACACCACCAGAGATGGACACTCCAAACATCTTTATACCAGGTTTGATTTTTGATCCTACAATTTTCTGTAAAAAGTGATTATTTTGTTCGTTATAAGAGTTTTTCACCATCTACAGTTATGCCTTTACCTAATTGTATATGAAAGAAATAAATTTTGGGTGAAATATCAGTGGCTCATTGCATGGTGACAAATCCTGCAATCTGATTGGTTCTCGGTGCACTCTGGATTTCCCTTTACCTACCAATTGACACTGTAACGCTTTCGTGAGTTTAAACACGAAGGCGCGCTAAATAAGGAAGTCTTCCCCTGGGAAGACCTAGGCTCATTTATCACTCACCGTTGACGTGTGCGGGTCAAA